TGGTAAACATTTATCTGCCAACTTGGACACAAATCTATTAAGGGTTGCCACTTACCCCTATCAATCTTTGTATTTTTTTGTAGTTTTTAAGGGGCTCATGTCCAATATAGCTATCACCTTATCAAGTTCTGTTTCTATACCTCTGTTAAAAATCATGAAGCCTAGAAACTTTCATTCTTCCAGATCAAATGTACACTTAGTAAGGTTTAACTTCATGTTATACCTTCTTAAGATGGCAAAAGCATCTGTTAAATCTCAAACATGCTATTCCAGTGAGGGACTCTTAACTAGCATATCATTTATATACACCTCTAGAGGCCTACCAATCTACTTTCTAAATTTTATTCACTAATCTCTAGTAAGTGACCTTTGTATTTTTTAGCTCAAAAGGTATCACTGTGTAGCAAAATAAATCATCCTCTATGATGAAAAATATTTTTTCCTGATCTATTCTTGCTAACTTAATCTGATTGTATCCCAAGAATATATTTATGAAACTCAAGTTCTTGTCATCTACAAAGGAGTCTACTAATTTCTTCGCTAAAGGCAGAGACGAACTGTCTTTTGGGCATACTTTGTTCAAATCGGTGAAGTTCACACACTTTCTCCATTTTTCATTTTCTTTCTTTACCAAAACCATATTGGCAAGCCAATCAAGGTATTTAACTTCCCTGACATGTCCAGCCGCCAACAACTTATTAGCCTTCTCTGTTATTGCTTAGATTCACTCGAGAGAAAACTTTATCTTTTCTTGCTTGACAAGTTTAACTAGGTCCACGTTTAAGTGATAAGCCATATCACGCTCATCAATGCTAGAAATGTCTCTACAAATCGTGCAAAGACATCAGCATTCTTTTGTAAGAATCTATGCAATATATTTTTTGCCTTAGTATCTAATAAAAACCCATATGCGTAATGAGGTCTAGGTTCGAGGGATATAGTTGGATTGGTATGGTTTGCTAGACTAGGTAAGCCTTGTGCTCTCAAGTTTCATCTCGTGCATCTAGGTTGTCAATGCTCAGAGTCTAGCCCAATGCTAGATTTATGAATGTACGAATAAAGAATGGTGTGTTTTAAGGTCTCTCATGGGTAGGGATAGGGGTGAGTTGGTGGTTTGATCCTCTTTCTGGTGAGTTGTAGACTCAAAAAATGGCACTAATGAGTTGTCACTTAATTCATTTTCATCTATCCTACCCCAGTGGTTATAGAAAGTTTAATCGTCAAATAGTAAATGGCAGTTACCATCTTATTCTTTTTCATCAATGGTCTGCCAAAAATGACATTGTAAATAGAGGGTTAATCAACCACCAGAAAGTCTACTAGTGTTGCTAACATATGTTCACCATCACTCATCGTAACTGGTAAGGTGATAAACCCCTTAACTACGATGGGTTAATTAGCAAACCCAAAGATAGGCCCTAACGGCCTCAAATCTCCATCTCCAAACCTTATCTACTTAAAAGCCTGATACTAAATTAAATTCACTGCACCACCATTATCAACCAATATTCATCGCACTTTGTAGTTGGCTATTGTTGCTGTGACCACTATAAGGTTGTTACCATTGTCAACTAGAATGTCAATATCATCATTCAAGAACTACACTCGTCAATCATTGACTCTATATTTTTTTTGATGCAACATCAATGGCCATTACACTATGCATGTGTGATTTGCGTTTGGATTTGCTATTTACTCAGTCTTCAGTGGCCCCTCATAATAACATTAATGATACCCTGTACTGGGATAAGCCCTCACCTTGCTGGTGGTTGGATGCTTCACAATTTTAATAGGTTGGGGAGTTATTGCTTCAGGGAGTTGGTTAGGTTTTTATCATGCTTATTAATCTTTTGATATCCTTCTAGAGAGCTATGCACTTATTAGTGGAATGCCCCCTAGTTTCATGGTAAATGCAATATCTTTTTGGTAAGGGTTGGTTATCTAGGCATTTAAGTAGAGGTTTTGCTTAATTTTTTATTTGGGTAAGATATTGGGTTGGACGCTATGTAATGGCATTTAGGGTTCTGCTTTGGTTTGGGTATTGATTGAATTGTGTTTGGGAGTTTTTACTATTGTTGTCATTTTTGTTATATCAATCTATTCTTCTTTGTAGGTTATGTGCCTAACGATTATCGTGAAACCGCTAACCCTGTGTGTCAATCTGCTTATTTTTTCTTGTGACATTCTTAATGTTACTCATGTTTTTCAACCCTATTAACGGTTTTAATCTTCTCAACCTCAGTAAACTTCTTAGCCATTTCGTATAGTTGATACAGCTATACTAGTTTGTTTTCCATTAATGAATACCTCATATAATCATGCCTCATCCTAAAGGTAAAGGCCTAGATGGCCTACTCAATGTTAAGATCCTTGATCTCTAAAGTGGCTATATTAAACCTTTTTAAGTACTATCAGAAAGTCTCTTCAAGCTTTTGCTTTACGACCAACAAGCTTATAAAAAAGCATACGACAATCCTGCTACTAAGGAATGTACCAAAAATTGCTTACTAAGGGCAACAAAACTATCTATGGTGACAAGGGCCATAAAATAGAACCACGTCTTAACTCTTCCATGCAAGGTGATGGGAAAGGCCCTGTATTTTACTGCATCAGAAGCATTATGCAAATCCATGAAGGTTCTGAAGTGGTCTAAGTGGTTTTCTGGGTCAATAGTCCATTATAGATATCTTTTGGTAGCTTAAGGGAAAACAAGATATCCACTTGTCTGACAGTGGCAATCAAAGGATTATGATATCCTCGAGCCATTAAAGATCTTTATTTTTATTCTTTTCTAAGTTCAGCTAGCTCTTTGTGCAAAGTAACAACTTGCATAGCTAGCTCATTGCATGTGTTTGGTTTTAATGAAGAGTCTTATGCAATATGGTCACAATGATGGGAACTATCATAGATGGTTTGCAAGTAGGTTTCTTCAAGATGGGTTGAGTTTCATGGTAGCGGTGGTTTCTTGAAAGAAGACACTAAGCTCTTTCTAGGATTGGTCTTTCTTGAAAGGTTGTTATGTGGCATGTTGGTACTATTAGAGTAATTTTTGCTGAGTGGCCACTTGAGTGTTTAATAATTGTATTTGTGCCATGACAGTATGATAAAAGTTCGATAAAATTTGCATGGTGGGTTGATATATTGGGATCTCTGGCACGGAGAAGGAGATATGTATAGTAAAGGTTACAAGAGGAATGTTTGGCCATAAACTGGTGTTTATACGAGCTATGAAGGAAGGATATGTGTCGTAGATAGTTGGGAAACAGGATTCAAAGGTCCAAGTGCTATGGTGTGGACTAATGGTGGTGTTAGTGTTACATTCAGGGATAAAACTCCTATTAAATTCTAATAAAAGCTCAAAGGCTATGCTGCCCAAACATTTAATAAAAGTGTGTTGTTAAGGAGCAAGGAATTTCAAGAAGGTAAATTTGGTGATGGAATTTGAAAAGGAATTGATAAAAAGGATGTTGCTTTAGTGGTGGCTACATGTTGAGTAATAGCATTAATGGTAGAAATTATTGTCTTAGAAGAATTTTGTTAGTGAGACATGGTTGTCGTTCCATAGACAACATCAATTGTTGATGGTGTTGTTGGATTTTTTAGCTAGAAAGAAGGGAATAGGGTGAATGGGAAAAACAGATATGACTTGCAATCAAAAAACACAATCAAAAGACACCAGAGTTATTACTTCGGAGTGTGTTCCAATGCTTAAGTCAATATGATACTTGAGAAAGGGTTAAGAAGTAAAGAGATGACGTGTGTGTGAAAAGTTTCAATGAAAAGAAAGTCTAAAGAGTTAGGTCTAATCTTGTGTTACCTAACGTATTTGACTTTTTTACCTACCTCTTGCTTGAAATCAAGAGTGATAGCTTGATTAAAACATTTAACAGTAGATGGAATGTCTATGTAGAGCTTGAGAAAGGTCTATGTAAATGGATGAGAATTACATTTAATGATATCAAATAAGTTGGATGTTGATGGATTATTTTTTATGTGGTTGCCTTGACAAGTTATTGGTAGGATCTTGGACAAGTCCTTCCTCTGATGGATAGCAAACAATCCCTTTAAAGCAAGCGACATAGCTATTTAGTGTGTTTTGCTTGGGTTGCCTAAGGATTCTGCAATACTAACCAAGCTCTAATCATTGACCAATTGATCTAGGCATAACATAAGTAATAATTCATGATTTTATTGATTTATCCGTCGATCTAGCTTGGAATAAATAGAACATTGTGTTTTTTTTATTATTATTTTTGAAAATCCCTTATGCTTTTTGTTTTTGACTTAAATATAAAAAAAAATCGAAATTAAATAACAATCCTAATTACCATCATTGTAATGAATCCTCAAATATGACATTTTTATTCAATTCGGTTTTTTAATGGATGAAAATTGATTACTAGCCGTCACCATTTCCCTTCCAATCGAGGACTCAATATTTCTGCTTGCATTTAGGATTGTACGTTAAGATTTCATCTAAATATTTTATTTAGTAGAATGATAGACAACTTAACCATGATTAAAGGTGGCATTATTACATTTAATAAAAAGATAGACAAGTTGACCATGATTAAAAGTGGCTTTATTACTTATTAGATGCATAAATCCTCACCCTTTCAAATTATTTGGATCCATATCTTCAAATTTGACATTCAAATTATTCTGAGTTTTGAACATTAATTCAAATCATTTCATTGTCAAACATTATTCATGTTGTTCGAGTTTTGATCTACAATTCATATCATTTCATGTCAAATTAATCTTTTGAATTGATCAAGTTAAAGTTGTTTTAAGTTAACTTCGAACAAATTGCGAGCAAAATTTTCGCACTCATATCTGCTTTAACAGTAATCTTTGATGTATCAAATTAACTCTTCGATCTAATAATGTCCTTCAAAACTTATCATGTCTCAAGGCAATGTTTTCAGTTCCCGAATAAAACCAGGGCAACATTCAAATACAAACATATCAAACCTATCTACCCGAATAAAACATATTCATTCAATAAGAAATAGGTTAATTAAATTCCATCATGCTGTGCTTGATTGGTAACGACCGATGAGTCTTGCACAGGAAAGATATCTGCCTGAGTCAGAAGAGACCTTAAAACAAATCCCACAAGATTATATGTGATATGCATAACGCACACAAAAGGCCAAAGTTGGGTAACAAAGACTGATATAATTGATAATTTATCAACTCTCAGATTGCCAGGGAAGGGAACAACTATTAGTGCAAAAAAATTATTTAGATGGTACCTTACATCCTCAGGATGGCTCATGGCAGAGAAATTGCGACTAACAAAAGTAGGAGACTGCTACTCACAGGGAAGAATGTCGGCGTCTTATTCTCTTGCTACGGTGATAGGCTATCACAGCTCTAGTCATTGAATAATTATCACTTAGCGGCATCATCATGATCAGATGCCTGGGGAATACTAGCAGAGGATGAACCTTTTCCTGTTGGGAGGTAAGACCATGCCAAGGCAGCTGTCCCAAGGGTAATTATAGCAGCAATTGAACCCCAGACCCATCTCTGCCTTCTTTTCTTCCTTTGTCTATCACGCCGTGCCATCTCTGCATTGAAACAATGATAAATTACAAAAATCAGAAAATAAAATCATGTAAACTTGATGAATCATATTAATATTTAATCATGCAGCATGACAATTTCAACAAAGTGAATCAGAATAAAGAAACTACTTCAAAGAAATGTTCGTGATTTTTTTCCAAAACAACTGGTTCTGCCAAGGAAAGAAAATCAGGATATAAACCTCTCACCTACGGCCTCTTGGTTTCTTTGGGACATTTCCCTATTCACAGCCTCATAATAGTGTAGTCGGTCCCACAATCGGGCAATTTCAAAGTTCTTCAATTCAATTTGAGCTTCCATCTCCATCTCCATCTCTGCCCTTGCAATGGCCCTTCCCACAGATGATGATACAAATCGTGCAACGCTCACTTGCTGTCTTAGTTCTTCAGCTGGATTCACCAGCTCATCCTCTGTCATATCAATAGGATCTGCAGGCAGTGACAATCCAGCAACAGCTAAGTCTTGGCTGATTCTTTGCCACTTACTTCGCATCTTGTTTAGAGCTTCTTCTGCCTGCTTCCTCTTCTCTATCTCCATGAGTAAACTCAATCTTATTTCACGCAGTTCAGCTTCAATGTCATGAAGAAGAGGCTGTGGCCCACTCTCAGAGGATAATTCTGGAGTAAACAAGAAATCTAAGTAAGCTTGCCAAAATGACCACAAAACCATCACATTCGTTGTCCTAGGTATTAAGAAAAAAGCTAAGGGGAAACTTTCATATTTATCCAAAGTACACCAATAATGTCTCCTATTCCAGGCAAACCAGGACACATAAATATGCACACATGAACATAGATACATCCAAAATAAAAAATATATGCATATCATTATTAAATTATAATGTCAAAAATTCCATTAAGACATTTAAATAAGGAAGGCCAGCACAAAACATACTAGCAGATACATATCAGGTTTTAAAAGCAAAATAGCAGTCATGCAAGAAAATATTTTCCAGCATAAATATTAATATATATGCATCTACTTATGAACATCACATACAGACGAAAATAAAACTCTACATACCATCCCATGCATCAAAAAACTCTAGCCTTGGTGTAGCAAGCCTTGCAGCACTTTCTGCCCCAGTATCATCATCTCCCTCAGTATTACTTGTGACACTCATTGATTCGTTTGGATCAAAGAAATCTTCACTGTCACCACATCTGTCCAAGTTCAATGATACAAGCTTCAGCACAGCACTATCCCTGCCCAAACCTTGACTCACTTGGCAGCTTCCAACTTCCCTGTTACTGCTGCCAAATTCACCATCATGGACACCATTCATGTGCTCATCTTGAATGGAGCCACCATGGACACCATTTGACTGTTCTACTTTGATAGGACCTTTATGGACACCATTCTCAAGCTCCTTTTCATTAGGTTCAGGAATGCTAAAAGCAACAGAACCATCCTTCAATAGATCAACAGACTTCGTTTCTGCCAGTTTTGCATTCTCATTAACCTCATCTTCTTCAACGGTCTTTTTCAGAGCTGATACATTGTCCTCAAAACAGCTCTTCAAAAGGCGAGGCCCACGCCTCTTATGATTGATGATGTAAGGTGAAGGAGGGAAAGAGGAAGGTGAATCAGGTAGTGGGGTTGCCTCAGGGGTAGCATAGAGGGCAGGTGATATTTGGGGGCGATTAAACTTCCTTTCAGTTACTGATGTATTGTTTCTCCCCTCCAGCTTTGAATTAGGAATAGGTTTGGGGTTGGGGATAGGTGGTTTTAAATTCAGGCCAGACTTGTCGACAGATTTGGCAACTCCAGGTTCTAACAACGTATCCAAAGCTATAGCAGTAAATGTTGGCATGGCTGCACAATCAAACAACAAAAGCTAAAGTCATTAAACCATATTTATCATTTTCTTAGAAGAACTTGAAGGAAAGGGAAAGAAGAAAATCTCATTGTGGCTATATTTGAGAACATTCTACTTCCAACGAACTTGAGAAGATTCACTCAGTTAGGCTTATAGTTGTTAACTTTTAGTTCTAACAACACAGCTACAACTATTGTTTGCTAAAGACAAATAATGGAAAACCTAAACTTCAAATTTTAATGCTTTTAAATGTTTTACGCCTACCTCTAATTGGGAGTGTGAGTTAACTACCAAACATCAAAACCCTAAAGCCAAAAAAACCAATGAACCAACATATTCAAAAAAAAATAAAAGGTGTAATTCCTCTTCCAATCAACAACCAGAAAAATTGTAACAAAAGTTAGTACCGCTCAAACTATCATAAATTCATAAAAACACAATTATTCAGCTACACTGTTATACTAAAATTAAAATTCTTTTTTAAAATTAAAAAAAAAAAACCTATGCAGATTTTGAATAAGTCATATAGCTAAATTAAATCTCAAATTTTATAAATAAATAAAATCCCCGTAAGTATGAAACAGCAGCCAAAAACGTTGTATTAGACACAGCTAAAGTGAAACACATAAGAATTCCTCTTGATTTCAACAGAAGCCAAACAGAACGAAAAAATGATGAAAATTTGATTATTTTTTTTAAAATATTCAATTTTAAAGCATTTATGTAACTACTTGATGAATAAAAAATAAAATAAAATAAAGAAAGACGGAAAAAAGAAAACCTCAAAAATTATTAACCCAGAAATAGCACGATCGCCAATTCGAGAATGAAAAGATAAAAAACCGTTTAAATAATTTCCGCTTCTAGCTAATAACGAAAATGAAGAAAAAAATTGAAAGATTCAAAAATCTATGTCTTAACAAAGGCACCGTTTGGAAGCTGAGAAAAGTTTAAAATCAAACAGAAAAACCGAAACGCATCCGTAATATACCAGAGCTATTAAGAACAGCTAATTCAGAAACTGGAAACAGAAAATAAAAACAACGGAAAATCTAACAACAAATAAAAAGGACTCCACATATTAAGGAAAAAAAAAAAACAAAGAAGATTCATTACCTAATATGCTAATAAAGAGATAATCCTTATAGAAGAAAACCTAGGCGTTAGCGGCGGTGATGACAGTAAAAACGGTATAGACAGTGGTGCGTGTAGAGAGAATCGGAGAGATCAGATAAGAGCTCGTGGAGTGAAGAGACAAAATACGGGGATTTTTATTTTTAGATTTATAATAAAAATAAATCTCTTCTCTGATCTTCCCAAAAGAAGAAAAAAAAAAAAGATGGAACCTCTTCCCCAAGTTATTAAAGCGAAGACCGCCTCCGCTTCTGTCCGCAAATATTTCAAACGCTAGCAATTTTTGCTATTCCTAGCTGGGGAATTACTGAATTGTTGGATTTGACCTTTTTTGGAGGTGGAATGAAGAGTTAATTTTGGAAGGGGTAGTTTCGGGTTTTCAAGATATGTGGGCGGTCTTCAAGTCCAAAGTGTTCGGAAGATGGGAAATGTTGTGGACTGGCCTTTTTGTAAGATGGTACGACATCGTTTCGGGAGGATTTGTACTTTTTGTTTTTGAATCTTGAAACTTCTTCTGCCTTGGGCAAAACGGCGAAATAATGAAGAGAGTGGGGGGGTAGGTCGGCAAATAAAGTTGCAGCGGCAAAATTAAGTAGGGTTGACAACTTAACCCAGGTTGGATATTTGATATAATATGATAAATTTTTTTTAAAAAAAATTAAATTTTGAATCGATTAGAATATTATTAAAAAAATTAAGATCAAATTGAATTTTAGTTTTAGGTAAACACGATTTAATTTGATTTGATATTATATAAAAAAATATTTTTAAATTTTTTATTTATATATTTATATATTTATCTTTTAAAAAATAATATTTTATATTTTAAAAAATAATATTTTATTAATTTTGGATCGAATCGAATCAAATATGATTTATACAATATTAAGTTTAAGTATAAAAAAATAAAAAAAAATTTAAATCAAGTTTAAATTCAAATTTTATGATTATAAAATCGAGTCGAATTCGAGACAATTAAAAATTTACTCTGATTCGACTCGTTATTAACCCTAAAATTGAGCAATAATTTTTTCTTTTTTTTTTCAATTTATTTCCCCTTTTATTATCACTAATTTCTTTTTTTGGTTGATGTTGGTAATGCTTTTATTTTATTAAAAGAAAAAAATTGAGCAAAGGTTTCTAGTAGTTCGTGCAACAAGAATATTAAATATGTGTATTTATGTTATATTTATTTTATATTAAATGTATATAAATATAAATTTATTATGTTAAAATTTATATTTTATTTTAAAAAATATATTATAATTTTTATAAAAATTATTTTATTTTTATATATTTTTATTATTTTATATCATATTATCATATTATTTTAAAAAATATTTGGGATGAATTTATAATAAATAATAAAATAAAATAAAAGATATGAAATGTAGAAATTGACAGTTGGAGAAGAAACTCATCACCTGTTAAGTTTTTAGTTAAAGGTCAAAGCGCTTAAGTAGTGGCTGACATCAGCAAAAACAAAAAGCTTTTAAAAATCTTCTTCACGGAATTGCCATCATCTAGAGTTGGTGGGCAAAGTCCATAAAAGCCCATGGCAAGAATAAAATAATTCTATTAAGAGTATGGTCCTAGAGAAAGCCCAATCTAGTTCAACCATCGCGGTGGATGAAATGAAATTGTTGGATTTGACAACTCTGGCATTTTCTGTTCCATTTTTCAAAGTAACAGATCCTGAATCTGGTGGTGGCCCTGCTCAAAATTCTTCAATCTCATTAAAGCTACAAAAAAGAAAATTACTACTAGACCACACTTTTGTTTGTAACCACTTACGTTTTACATCATACGTATTGTGGCCTTGTATTCTCTAGTGGTTTTTAGTTACGATAACGAGGAAATTGACTAAACTTGTGTTGCTAGCAGTCACTTCTGGTACACTATTACTAGGGGTGATTAGTCTTGGGATGATAACGTAATCTTGAAGTATAAATTTGGGCATTTTTTATTTATAATTTAATTTAATTAGATTATATAATTATATTCAAATTTTAATACTTAAAACATTTTTTTTTATTTTTAAACTATAACATTATTAGTAAAACAAATATTTTTTGATTGATTATATGTAAAGCTTTGATGGATGTATTCAAAATTACATGTGATTGGAACTAAATACACCTATTAATTACCATAAAAACAAAATAAAACAAATTTTATAAAATCGGTTTGGTTTCACCATTACCACATATGATAGTTGTCATGAATCCTTCACAAAATTAACAAAAAAAAAAAAAAGGAAAATCAAACTACAGCAGACTTCACTGTTGAAAACTGCTGATATACGAACTGCAAAATCAATGGAAAGTAGCCCCGTTCTCATAATGAAGCCTTTAGGAAATTAAAGGAACTACTGATTAAATCAACTAATGACAAATCATAGAACCAATATATCTCTTTGCAAAGTTTTAAACAATGTCATAGTCTTACAGATCAATCTAAATGGGAAAGAAAAGTAAGTGCAGAAAAGCAATCGAGCTAAATGATATGTGTACAAATTCTGGGTTCGATTCGAACCCTTTTTTTTTCAAATAAAACAAGAACCAAAACACCTGTTCATTTGTAGTACATGACAGGCGTATTTGCATTCTTGTCCCACATCCCACCTTCTCTCAGGTATTCTAAATACCTGGCAAATTCTGGTTTAGCTGTTGTTTTCTTCTTCCGACGAGCATCAAAGATACTGAAAAGTGGGTGAGTAGTACTCTTGGTAACCTTTTTGTTTGAGGAGGACGTCGAAGGTTTTTTCACTTGAGACCTTTCTAGCAAGGCCAATTCCGGGCTAAACTTTGATCTTGATAATCCAAAAACTCGAGCTGGTACACTTCTAGCCCTCTTCAACTGTGTTTTCCACTGACCAATGCTCGAAACAGGCTTGTCAACTTCGACTTCAAGTAACCTTTCATAGCCTCGACGGCTTCTTGTGCTGAAAGCTCTAAGCATGGCCATGGCGTGATAAGAGGAGAGGACAAGCTGCGTATGTGAATTAACGAAGTTGTAATATAGAAAAAAAGGGTAGGTGGCAATTTTGACGAGAGCAATAAAGTAGTAGTTTTGGTAGAGTAATCTACGCACGCCATAGTTGATTAAAATTTGGCCGTTGGATGGTGAATATAAATTTATTAGGTGTTGGTCTGATTTAGCCAGCATGCTGGGAAAGGTTGCGGCATCGACTTTTGTTGGATTGGAATTTTTCTTGTTTCGGACTTTGACTTCGTCTCTATTCTCAACAAACATGACGAAACTTTTGTTTGGTGGGGCTTCGAGAAACATGGACCAAAGTTAAACTGAAAGCTCTGCAATTGCCGTTTCTAGCTGAATAATTAATATTTGTTTCTAAAACGGCATATTTTTATTAGACTAAACAATCACGTTTTCCATGTCTCCTTGTTTAAATAATAAACTAGTCGGAAGGAAATTTCCTTGAAAAAAAAATAATACTTTATTTAAAAATGATACTCAAATGGCATTGAGTGTTGTAACCCTCGTTCAACTTATCACAATTCATCAAGATCCGAAATTATCTTAAATGAGTAGAGAGTAGAAACGGATAGTTTGAAGCCATGAAACTCACCCGTTGCATCAGAACTACAATCTGATTCAACTCAGTTTAACTAAGAATAGTCAACAATTAGAACTCTAATTTATTCGAAACTTAAAATGATTCAAAACTCAAACGACTTAAAATAACATTATTCGACTGTAAAACTCAATAAGCTGGACCAAAATAACTCAAACACAATTACTAAAACCGTATAATTGAGTGTCTAACTCGAAAGACCTAAATTTAAAATGACTCGAAGCAATCTAAATTTTCTTTGACCAAAATAATGATCACTCAAGCCAACATTTGTTACCTTCCCCCACAAGCCAACATTTAGATATTAATTGGCTTCCTCCTTTACCCGATTCAACCCACCAAATCCGACCTGATCTTATATTCATCAAACCGAACTCGACATGATCTAAAAAATTTTTTTATTTTTCATACACGAATCAGACCTGATTCGATATTGTATAAATCGTACTCGATCTGATCATATCTGAAATTAATAAAATATTATTTTTTAAAATATAAAATATTATTTTTTAAATATAATTATTTAATTATATAAATATATATAAATAATTAATTAATTAATTAATTAAAAATAAATTTTTATATAATGTCGGGTCGGATCGGGTTTGCCTAAAACCCGAACCCAACCCGATCCCGATTGTTTCTTAGCTTTACCAGACCCAACCCGACCCAAAACTTGATTTTCGAAAAAAAAAATCCACCTTATAAGATCAAGCCGAGTCGAAACCCATCAATGACAGATTAAGTTGCCAACCTTAATTCAACCTAAATTTGCTAGAGTTAATTTTGTCATTCAACCCAAAGCATTTTAGCGGTCGTTGGATTAAGTGATTTTGTTTGTATAGTCTTTCTGTCATGCATTATCAATATATATATATATATATATATATATATAACTATAACTATTTGATGAAACCGATTGCCCAGTAGCTTCAATAATTCAGTATCATTCAAATGGGTAATCATAATATTAACTGAAAGTCCTCAGTTCGTTGGCCTAATGGCTAAAAAGCTCATAGGAAGACATAGAAGTCTTGGTTTCAAACCAAGACTCCCGGGCTATGTCCATCCTATATACCAAAAAATATTAAACGAAAATAGCAATATACATCAATTAAGTATTAAAAAGTTTAAGTCCTTTTGTACTCTCCCTCTTCAGTCTTCACCAAAAGGTATATCAGGATGTGAGGAAGAAGTAGAACATTTGTATCGCTGTTTTCTTCGTTTTATGAGGCAATAAATTAGAAACGGTTACGCATTTCTGATTGTATCAGCCTTAGCAAAATCTCCTAATCCAGTAATTAAATTATCTGCATGCACCAGTAATGATAATTGACAATGGGATTTCAATGTTTTGCTCAGAAGATAGATCCTTTTTCTCAGTCACTAGAAGAGAGATGCTTCTAACTAATAACCTTTGCACCTATTTCTTTGGGCTTAAATAGTTAAATTACACTCAAATTGCATGCAGTAGTAGATATAAAAAATAGACATGAGGAATTGAGGATACATACTTGCTAATGGTGTAAATTTACAGAAACATAGTGAATTGTGTTGATGCAACTGGCATCCATACTAAGATTGCACTACCGCTCTTCTGAATTGAATTTGTTCCAAGCTTCCTGAGATCAAGAAGCAGCAAAAAGTTAGCGCAAAACATACTTCACTGCCCTTGATTTCTAAAGCCCCCATGACTTATCAACCATGACTGTTAAAAGCATTAATGGCACAAGCCAAGTTCACAAATGAAGTGGCACACAGGCAGCTAACCTTTAGAAGATCAAAGACCTTTTCACAAGTGTACTTCTGCTGAATACTTGCACCACGTTGCTGTAATTTGTCAGGATGAACACAAAGAGTGGCTTTCCTGTAAGCTTTCTTAACAGCAGCTGAAGTTATAACTTCTGTTAGTGGAATTGGCTGCCAACCACTCTCATACCCAAGGATCTGTCAATGAAGATAGCTAAGTTTAAACTTTTAAATAGCTCCTGCTAGAGCTTTCAATTGTAAAAACTGAAGACAGGATGTCAAGTCACTTATCATTCGTTAGGCAAAGGATAACATTACAGAAAAGTACCAGCACCAAGTTTCAATTAACTTGCAATAAATCACACATTTAATGGTAACCATAACCAAAAGCTAGGGCACCAAACATTGTTAGCAGTATGAAAAATAGATAGATCAACAATTCAAATGGCTCCTAATGATGGTAGCTAAGCACAATCCTATTAAATCACCTAGTAAACAAAGGAAATGATAATAAAAGCATGCTAGACAGAGTTTGGATGGTATAACATACATATTGTAAAGTTGAAAGCAATGCACGCAGGTTCCCTTCTTTCCCACTCGACCACCTCTTGACATCAGCATCCAGAGTTTCTGCTAATCTCTGCAAACAGAAAAAGAAACAAGACAGTGAAAAATGCAAAGACTTTGTAATCATGAAATATCTTCACATGTGAGAACATAAAAGAATACATTTCTTTCCACTTGTTCTCTTTGAGCAAGAAGATCACGCATATTCTTTTCTTCAAGAGCTTTTGCCTGCAAAAAACCAAAAGCTAGATGCTATTTTGACATGCATAAAAAAAATTCCAGATTTTTTAAAGAAGAAGAAGAAGAAGAAGAAGAAATCGTACTGCACGTTCAGCTGTTCGTCGATATCTCTCCAGTCTAGCTTTACACCTCTGAGCTGTTTCACCTTCAACTCCTTCATGCACAGAAAGAAACTTGTTCAGTAGAGGAAAAACAAACTGGAATTCTTTTTTTCTTCTTTTTGGGTGATCTTATAAAGCAATGTATTAAAAGGATACAGCTAGTACTTCACAAAATAACCTACCATTATAAGCATAGGCATACGGGTATCTTAAACCACCAAAAGAGCCAGTGCTCTGAAAATGCTGATCCTGTAGATCCTGCCAATTAAAATCCATTAAAATGCTGTCTGGAACCATGAATTTTGTAAGAAAAATATATTAAGGATACACTTACAGAGGATGAAGAGCTTGTTCTCATTCCACTATTTCTAGAAGAAGTTGAAAATTTATCTGACATAGACTGTTCTACTCGCTCTCTTGCCTCAAAAGCAGCCCTTTCAGCCATAGCTTTTTCCACAGCACGCTCTCGAGCCTCTGCAGTTGCTCTCTCCACAGCAGCACGCTCTGCCCTGACCCTGGCCTCCATAGAAGACTTCTCCCTAGCTTCTGCACATGCCTTCTCTAATCTGTCACGTGCCTCGGCCATTGCTCTTTGACGAGCTTCAGCAGTTGCTCTTTCTACAGCCGCCCTTTCTGCCCTCTCACGGGCTTCAGCATATCCCCTTTCAGGAGCTTCAAGTGCTGCTCTATCAACAGCCATCCTATCTTTTTCCCTTTCCCTCTCCCTCTCTCTTTCTTCTTCCATCTTTCTAAGACGTTCCATTTCCAGTTCTCTTTCTCTTTGCAACCTTTCAGCATCCCTCTCTTCTGGTGTAAGGCTCTTATTAATATTCTTGTCTTTCATTTCTATGCTCTGACTTATCTTAACCTGCTGAACTGTTCTCTGAATTCTTCCTTTCTCTTGCAACGCAGATGCCTTGGCATCTTCTGGTTCCCTTCCAGTTTCAAAAGACTCTTTCACACCTTGAGCTGACACATCCTTAACCTTATTTTCTTCAAGATGGGAGGGAACTGAGGCCTCCTTGATATTTCTTGTTCTTTCCCTCCATTCATAAGCAATTTTCAACCCTTGATTGTCATTATCAGAGTCCATTCCAGGGACACTGTTAATCTTCTCAGCATTTCTTTCTCCAATGCCAATCCCAGCTTCACCAGCTTTCTTCGCACCGTCATCTTGCTGACACAAGACTGAGACATCAACCTTTCTAAACTGATTAACTTTAGCTTCTAAGTCACAAGGTGCCGTTCCAGATGCATTCACCTTTCCATCAACATCCCCTTTAGTCACTGCTTCTGATTTCTTTTCACCGTCTCTGAATTCAGCCTCCGTCTTTCGAGACTCTTCAGTTTCTTCTACCTCATCACAGTTTTGATCATTATTTCCAACAAATTGATTTTCTTGGCATTTCTTTCTAAAATCCAGTTTATTTACCTCATCATATACCACAGGATCCTCTCCTTCTACATGCTGATGAGTCCCTTCAGCAATTTTGTGTTTCTTCCCGTTTTCACCCCTTTCAGTTTGCTGGTACGCATAGTTTAATCCCTGCAATTCTTCAGTTTCTTCCTGCTCAACAACTTTTTGTTCGACTTCACATTCTGTATCTTGGACCTCTTTCACTGGTTTGCTATAATCTGCTTGCTCAATTGCCTCCTCTAGCATTTTCTCATTGTTTTCTTTTTCACAAGCTTCTTTGAGCCTTTTATCAATTGCTTCTTTTTTGCAAGCCTCTTTTAGTCTATTCTCGGTTTCCTCTCTTTCAATAACCTCCTTTTCTTGTCTCTCATCTTTTCCTTGCTCAGTAATTTGCTTTGCTCTTTTCTTACTTTCTTCTTTCTCATGAGCCTCTCTTTGTTTCTTCTCCATCTCTTCCTCTTCAAGAGCCTTTCTCTGTCTTCTCTCATTTTCTTCCTGCAGGCATGCTCGTTTTAGTCTTTTCTCATTCTCTATCTGTTCAAGAGCCATTCTCCATATCTTCTCACTTTCTTCTAGTTCTTGTGCCTCCTCCTTCTTCTTGATTTCTTCTCGTTCACGAGCTTCCTTCAATCTCTTCTCTTTTTCTTCCTGCTCAACAGCCTCTCTCAGCCTCTTCTCATTCTCTGCTTCTACAAGAACTTGTTCAAGTTTTGCCTCATTTTTTTCCTGCTCAGAAACCTCTCCCCAGCTTTTCTTCTCATCTTCCCTTTCTTGACACTCCTTGACTCTGTTCGTGTTTTCAATACTTTTACTAGTCTCTTTCTCCTGCTGCCCATTCACTCTTTGTTCCATAGCCTGCCCAACCTCAACTTTATTTCCTTTTTGTTGACCATTTACCTGCTTCTTACGTTTTACTAATTCATCAGCTCCAGTTGATTTCTTACCATTTTCCAAAGGTTTCCGTGATAATATAGATTGCCCATTCTCCTCCAGTTCACTAACCTCTAAAGCTGCTTTTACCTTTTTCTCATGCCCTTTATGCCTACGGGCCTCTTTAGCTGGCTTTGATATTCTGGTGGATTCCCCCCTTTCACAACTTTCTTTTGCTGTTTTCATGTCCCTCTCAACTTTTTCCAGTTCATGGTCTTCCCTAGCAGCTTCTACTTTCTTATCGCTTTCTAATTGCTGCTCCAGAGCTCCGATGCTTGCCTTTTTAGCTTTATGCTGAAGCTCATGAGATTTCGAGCTCTGGACCAAAACTTTCTCATTGTTTGTCTGCTCAAAACCCGTTCTTAACTTATCTGTTCTAACCAATTCAAAAAATTGAGTTGCTTCCTGCCATTCATCATCTCCATCAATTTCATCAAACTCTTGAATTGATTGGGATTCCTTCCCATGCTTCTCAATTACAAATCTTTTGGGCACATTAAAATGTTTCTCACCTTCCAGTGAATCAGGTGCCTGGATTTTCACAGCCTTTTGCCTCTCCTCTCTAACAGATATTTTCATTCCACTGTCTTTTTTTCCGTACATGCCATGCCCTGTCTCATCCTTTATATCACTGGACCCACCAACAGCCTCACTGGGCCTTTCCTTTTTACCGTTTCCATCGGACTTTGAACCTAGTTTTGTAGAGTTTTTGATGCCCTCCCTCTTCCTCTCCAGTAGTTCTTTTGCACTTTTCAGCTTTGCTTGAGCTTTGTCCATTGCTTCTTTCATAGTAGCAGCAGAGGCTGCAGCAGCTGAACTTGCATCTATCTCAACATCAAAGAAAGAAGGCGAACAATCACCCATTCTCTCTCCAGAAGCAACATGTTGAACCTTTTGATGGTCTCTATTTTTAACATCAACAAATGGCGGAGGTCTAGAGGGAGGTGGCCCATCAGATGGCACTGTTCTTAGGTTGATATCTGAAATTGTTACTAACATCTCATTAGAACAAGAGCCATTTCTTCGAGTTAAGTCATTTGTATATGTTTGTTCACCAGCAGTCCAGTTAGAAGGATGGGACACAGGTTTCCTAAGATGTTTTTCCTTTGTAACTCTCCCAGTGAACTCAAGATCAATATCATCAGTCACATGCAATGGTGGATTGTTGTTGTCTGCCTTTTGCAAGGGAGTTTCAATTATGCAAGCATTTTCAGGACCAGCATGCAGCTCAGCAACATGCGTAACCCCTATTGACATGTCTCTGTTGTTTCCAAGATTAGCCTTATGATATGATATATTGAACTCCATACAGATATCAATCGGCTCACAATAATCTCCATTCGAGAAGCACTGATACTTTCCAGAATGATCTGAGCCATCTGACATAGACTCAGTTTCTGCCTGCATCCTATAAGAAGAAACAAATGAATTTACCACCATCAAAATTATACCCCTTACTACATTGAAAAATCAACCAGGACACCTCAATACATAACGTATCTATAAGTTTTAAAGAGAAACCATAGCACCAATATGCGTCAGTTGTTCGAAATAGCGTTAATTCAAACACCAAAAGAACAGTTATATAAAGAAATTCTTTTATGCATTTTACACTTCAATGAAGAAGAAAAAATCTAGAATCCAAAAAGAACAGGTAAATAAACTCCAGCAGAAATTATTGCCCCATTTATTAAGTACACCAAAATATGAAAGTCAATCAAAAAGATTTGTTCTTGCCATAATCCCTCAAGATTCCCCAAAGAACCGGTAATTTTCCAGTCGCAGATTTTATATTCCTTTTACCACCAAACTCAAACACTTGATTCTGGCCATTATGATAATGTAAGTTAAAAATTCAACGAAAAAAAAAAAGAAAAAAAAAAACATTTTCGTAAAGCCCACAAATGACAAAATCTAAGTACCCAAAAAGAAGAAAAAAATTCAAAACTTTGCAGTACAGTAACTATCATATTAAACGACCTCAATGGTTACTAAGAAAAAAAAAACAATATTTACTCAATTTATTGTTGTAAAAGTTAGAATAAAAATCAAAGGAAAAACTAAAAAAAAAAAGATTAAGGCTTTGCTTGGTAGGAAGGATTGAAAGAGACAAGGATGAAAGACTAATAATTCAATGGATAAAATTTATAACCACCTTTTTATTTTGAAGCTTAACCAAACCATTATATTAATAAGTTTTCATCCTTGTGCTTTCCATCCTCCAGCAAAACCTAAACTTTAAAAAGAAGAGGATATGAGCATACCAAGCTTCTTCAGATGAATCACCATCATAATCATGATCATCTCCACCATTGGCTTGTCTCATCAGCTCCTCGTACGAAGCAGCGAAGTCCAAGCCGTCAAATCCGCCGAAAACCTCGGCGTAGTTAAACCTCGGGTTCCGTACATCAAACATCACCTCGTCGTTGTCGTCTACCAAGGGAAGATCTAACACCGGAATCGACGCGCCTCGAGACGCATGAAATCCGCCGAAAATCTCGATGTAGTCCTCGGGCCTCGGTGACAAAGTCGGACCACTAGCAGTACCGAACCTCGGCGGACCACCGAAAACATCGTCGTACATGGTTTTGCCTGAGAAGTTAGCAGCGCCATTGCAAGTTGTCGTTCGCTCGGTGAGTGTAGCCTGAGAAGAACCTCCGTTTGTTTTCCGAGAATGTCTGAGATTTTCCATGAAAATGAAAGCTTCTAGGGTTCTACACTGAAAGAGTTTTTTCTTTTTTTAATAAAGAAACTATATTATTAATATTTTTGGTCTGTGTTTTTCTGCGTTTACAAGAGTCTGGCGGAGTGAATGCAGAAGGCGGACGACGAAAATGGAAATATAAACAATAACAAATTAATAATAAAGAAAACTTCGAAATGACGAGAAAGGACTTGTGATTTATTATTTATTACTACTATTAAATTTTAAAATTGTTTATTTGTGCTGTTAGAATTAAGAAAAAAAATTGTGTCGCGTTGTTGTAATATTCCGACTGACAGGTGTAGCCGGTAGCTGGTGACAATCCCGGAAATGAATATAGTTGGATTGCATTAAAATTTTATTATTTTTAAGCTAAATGATTAATTTTATCCTTAGCGTTTGAGAAATTATTTAAATCATGAAAATTTTAATCGTAACAAATAATAACTTAATGGATTTTAAATATAACAATTAAAATTTTCTATAAATAAAATATCGCATGAACCCATTTTTTTTACTACGTGTAATTTTTAGTTGATGTGTAAAATGAATTTCATCTTTAAAAAACAAATGAATGAAAAATTGGCTGTTAATTATGAAAAAATAATATGATTTTAGATTAATAAATCATTTTCCTCTTTTTTTTCTTTTTAACATTTCCACTTTCTTTCGAGAAAACTCATCCATTCTCACTAACAAAAACATCATAAAAAAATTATAAGTTAATCCAAAATCTGATGATCGATCATCGTTCATTGGCATTGAAAATATTTTAAAATTTATTCTAAAACTATTTTTTTATTTCTTTTCCTATTTTCAAATTAAATTTTTTCAAAAATTCATCATAATTCTTAAATTTACATTTAAAAGGTGTCTTCAATACCCAAAAAAAAAACTACCTATTTTATCTCTCCAAATGATTTGAAATTCCACTATATTTATCCTTTCCCTTTGATCTTTATTTTCACCGTTTTAAATTCTCAAAAATCTCATTATGGCCATTTACCACCATTATTTTCGTTGTGCATAGTAGTTTTCCTTTCTTTTCTTCTGTATTATGTGTGATTGTGTTATTGCTTGAAAATTTGTGGCTAGGTTTTCCTTATAATGCTAATTGTGTTTGTTTCTTTTTTATATTTTTTTTTTGTTTTTTTTATTTTAGGGGTTTTGGTGATGCTTGGTAATGGTTGTATGTAAAAGGTGATGGTGATTATGGGAGAACTAAACTGAATGGATAATGGTTTAAGGTTGGCATGGGAATGCAAACAAAGTAGAGTTTAGATTTTTTTTATACTTGCTAGAATTTTAGGATTAGATCTATGTTTTAGGTGTGAAAATTTACACTCACTTATGAAATATTATCAATTTTGACTCAAAAATTTCATGATTTTATCTCACAAAAGGTACTTCACAAGTTTTAGGTTTAAACCTCTACTTATATATAGTAACGGATCTTTAGAATATCTCAATATAAAATTAAGGTGTCACAAACTCTCCCTCATTAAAATTTGACATACTCCCAAATCCAACACAAAATACACACAGAATCACAGAACCAAGATCATATCAAATGTCAAAATTTTAGAGGTGGTTTCCATTCATATAGCACTTAATTCTTTCATGATTCTAAAGATGACTCTTATAGTGTAACACTTAGTTCTCGTCTGACTGATAATCATTTCGATACCATTTATGGAGCTCCATACCTAATATGAAGAGTATTATTTGTTTTTTGACTTGGAAGTTTCATAATTTTATCTTATAAAAAGCACCTCAAAATTTTAGATTTAAATCTATATTTATATATCATAGCATATCCTCAAAATATTTCGATGTGAGATTGCGGTGTCACATAAGGAATGCAAACAGAGTTAAGCTTAGATTTTTTTTTGCCAACTCAGATTTTTTTAAAAAATAAGGTTTTATCTTAATAACATGTAATCAATAAAAGTTTTATCTTAAGGATAAGAAGTATATCTTAAAACTAGAATATTTTTTATTGAAAGAAAAGATATAGTGAGTTAGAAAGAGAAAATGATTTTTGATTAAAAGATCATAGGTCGGGAGTTAGAGAAAGAGAGAGAGAGATTTTTGGTTGAGAAGGCAAAAGGTTGAAAAAAATAAGAAAAAAATTGATTATAAAAAGTTTTTTAATGAATCAATTGTCAAGAGTATTTTTGTGCCACATATTTTTTTTTTCAGTTGTTATTGTTAAGAACGTGGGAATGATAGTTCTTAAATTCTGTCAAAAAAATCTTTAAAAGGGCATTTAGTTTAGAAAAAAGTAATTTTTCTTTTCGAAATCTTATTTTTTGTAATTTGATTTTTTAGTTTGGTTCACGGAAATATGATTACTATGATTTTTTAAAATATTTTTAATAGTATCAAAAAGTGAAAAAAATAAGAGAATAAAAAACTATTATTTCCTTGAGGTTTTCTAAGATTTCAGAGGAAAAATACAAATTTTTCTTATTTGCCCTCACTTAATTACATTTTTAGATTATATAAATAATATTATTTACCTTAGAAACATAATAATTTTTTATAAAATATTATGAAAATGATTTTTTCTTAATATACTTCAAACAAAAATCACATTTTTAACACAATGCTATTAAAATCCTCACAAAAGTTATATTAAAAAACACAATTTTGTTGAAAAGATGAAAAAATTTATTTTTCATAATTCAACAAAAATAACATTTTTAAAACAAAAAACATGATTTTTGTTAAAAATATGAAAAAAAAAATTATCTTTCAAAATTTTACAAAAATGACATTTTTTAGATAAAAAACGTAATTTTTGTTGAAAAGACAAAATTTCTAAAATAAAAAACATTGTTTTTATTGTAAACATAAAACAAAAATATTTTTCAGAATTCAAAAAGATAACATTCTAAGATAGAAAATGTAATTTTTATTAAAAAACGATGTTTTTAAAATAGAAAACGCAATCATTTTTAAAAATATGAAAAAAATATATATAATTTTCAAAATTTAATAAAGACAATGTTTCTAAGATAAAAATATTATTTTTGTTGAAAAGATGTTTCTAAGATAAGAATATAATTTTTGTTGAAAACATGAAAAATATATTTTTCAAAATTTAATTCAAAATTTAATAAAAATAATGTTTCTAAGATAAAAATGTAATTTTTGTTGAAAATACAACTTTTTTAAGATAAAAAATATATAATATTTGTTGAAAAAATAAAAAAATAAAAAAATATATTTTTATTTAATATTATTACATATAAATTTTAAAATATATTTACTTAATATTATTACACGTTGAATAATGCTTATTCAAAATAATTATATAAATTAATTAAATTTAATTTAAAATTTAAAATAAAATATGCAAATTTTAGGATTTGAAAATTTTTGAATAAATGTAACCATAACTCATGATGTCGGTGAATTAAAATTTTGATGATTATTTTTTAGTAATTTATTTGATGTAAGAAGGAACAAAAGTGGTTGAGAGGTGGCTAGCAAAGGCTGTACTAAATTAGTTAACAGAAGCTTAGGGCTGCTTCCAAATTTGGGAATGAAGTGTGCGTGAAGATGACTTGATGATTTAAAGAGTACGGACAAAGCCCTACTGTTGTACTGAACAAAATTTTTTTTTATGAGATTTTTTAGTATTTTGTAACCACTTTAACTTTTGATTATTTTAGAGTTGATTATTTTAGAGTCGAACTGAATTGAAGAAAAATTCTTTTAGTATTTAATTTTTTTATTTATAAAATTTAAAATCAAAATTTTATTTAAAAAAATTAAATTTTTTATCAACTCATAGACAATAATATTCTAAACAAAATTTGATTAGAGGCATAGAGGGATTTTTTTTTAATTTTTTTTATCTGTCAGCTTATTATTGATTCTTTGAGGACTTAGAGATGCATGCATGATAACTTGAAAACTTTTTTGTCTTTATTTTAAATTTAAAATAAAAAAGTATTTGATATATTTTATATTAAAAAAATATAATCTTATAATTAGTATATTATAAGTTTCAATGATGATTTATATTAGATTTATATGTTATTTACTAAAAAAATTATTGACAACAAGAATCAGATTTATACCTCATAAGAAAATTATTTAATTCTTATATATCTCAGTTTTGTAAGTTTTTTTTTTTTTTAGTTATTGTATCTTGAAAACATATTTTCTTGCATTTCTTAAAACTACTAATAGAATGACACCATGGTTTCTCTTAAATTTTATTATTTTTAATTTCTAGGTGGTTGGGAGTTGAACCCTAAATTCAACAAAAAAAGATATCATAATTTAAATAGCTAAGAAGAAAAAAAAAATGATGTGATGGGGGATTAGTGAGGGTGATATGTGAGGTGCGAAAACAAGAATTTAGGTGAGATCAGCTGAATCTATACTGCAATTGAAAGCCAGCAAACCATTTGGTGGTAGTAACCAAATCTTAATTGTTGATTCAAACATCTTATCCACACAGAACTAATTTTTTTTGTCACAAAAGAGGATTAATATCTTTACAAAAAGAGAAGAGATATGACGAAATCGATCTTACATCTACATAACTTTCAATCGATCTTTTAATTATTAGGTTAAAAAAAAATTCACACAATATTATCTTTGTTTTTAGGTTTTTATGTTATGCTTGATAATTTTAAATAAATATCTGATCCGTTGAAAAAGTATTCAATTCTTAATTTTTGATAATTTAAAAAAAAATCAAAAGTGAACAAATGAGTAAAGTAGAAGGATTGTAGGGATTATAAATCTAAATCCAAGTAGAGGCGAGAGCCTAAGCTAATCATTGGAACCCAAGTAGAAAGAAATATGATTGTGATGCATGAAGATTAGCTGTTACGGAAACCAATCATAAAAGAAAAAAAAAGATTGGGTATGAGCATTAATTTTTTTTCAGAGCCAATGATTTTATCATGGCAAAAAAGAAAGAGTTAGATGGGGGAAACCATCCATAAAAGAGAGTTGATACTAGATGAACATGCACAGTTCCCTGGGAAGGATCTGATAGTGACTGCAGGTTGCAGCATAAAGACAAGAGGTAACTGTCCCCAAGTAATGGCAACTTGAAAAAAGGGTTGTTGGCTTTGGCTGCAACCCTGGTTCCAAGCTGTCCAATTATATTTGAATTTGGCTGACTTGATTTTGACCTTGGGCAAATTTTATAGAGCCATTTTTCATTACCCCCCTGTGGCTTTGGACCACCATAATCAGCATTTTTTTGTTGCATTTGATAGTTTTTTTTTTTCTTCAATGAAATTAACAGTTTTGGAGACATGATTGCCTACAGCCTATATGAACAATGATTTTATATTCCTAGTTAAAGATTTACTGGCATCATTTGCCAAATATTCCCCTCTTCTCAAAAAACAATGAAAAAGATGAAATCTAGTTTCTGGTCATCAGGGGCATCCAAATGCCAATCAGTTTAAACAAGACAGTATCTTCTTTTCATTTCTTTGCTTTGGCTTTTGTCCCCTGTATAGCATGCTACTAGCCAAATATATACTAGTGTTTTCCCTTTCTCATATATAACATAGATTTCTTTTTTCCTTGGTCCAAAGATGCAAAAGAAAATCTGGGTTTAAAAAATAAAGGCAAGATTCAAAATGTTTGCATACTTTTCAAGAATCCCAGCTCCAGCCCTTAAACAGTTCTACCAATGTAAAGACCAAGCAGGTAAGAACAATACCCTCATTCTTCTGCTATGGTGGGTGGTTTTGTCAATTGGTGAATTTGAATTGGTAGATAAAAGTTGAATTATTTGAAATCCCAAGTTGAGGCCCCTTTTATTACTTCAGACCAATTACCAATACCATAAAAGATGGCTAAATTTGGGCCCTCATGTTTGCCACTTTTTGTCAGATACACTATGCAAATCTCAAAAAAAAAAGTCATCATTCTCTTGCATTTAAATTTGTTTTATTTTAATCATGGATTTCTCATAATCAATACACATTACATTATACATAATTAACTTTGAAAGAGTAAGAAATTGGCGCAACACAATCCCATGAATGCAAATAGATGATAATGGCTCTGATTCAACCAATAAACCAACTTTTCTCACCGTTCAAATGACAATAACTTGGACCAACTCGATTTGGTTCAATAATTGTTTCTGCTTTTTCGATAATATTGAGGTTGAAGGTTCAAATTTTACTTATTTCTTTGAACATCATCAAATGTGATTAATTGAAGAATCAAGATTGATTTGGAGGAAGAGTAGTGGTAGACTATATTAGACAGATGAAAATTATTATAGAAATCCCATGTTGTATTAAAATAATAAAATGAGAATTGCTTGGTAAAGAAACCAGCAAATGTTTGTCCCACCAAAGAGAGTTGCTGAGTTTCAGAGCATATTCTGATATTGAGCAGATTTTGAAACAAAGTGACATAATAGGAACTGTTCATTGGTCAATGACAAAAAACTACAAGTTTCGCCATTAGATGCGGATTTATTTAGAAAAAAAATTTAAAAAAAAAAAAAAAAAACCCAACAACCACCACCAAATTGTAAGTTTATGGTTCCTATTAGTTTAATTCTACGTTAGCATCAGGATCAATAAGAGGTTTTGTTGGTTGGATGGATGTTAAGAGTTCGGCTAAGATAGAGTTGGCCATCCATATTCTTTGAGAAGCCTTTTTGGTTTAACAAACATTCTAGATGGGTCACAAGCGATGGCTTTTCCTTTTAATTTTTTTTTAAGTGCAGTTTATTAGTACTTTGATGGCCTTGGGAAAACAAGTTTTTCCTTTCTTTTTTTTTTAACTTCGGTTTCTACTAAAAGAGCAATAGGTTATCGAATTTTTTTAATAATTGAAATTATTAAATATTGAACTTCGATACTGTATTTTAATTTTAAACACCGTATCAATAAATTATATTATTATTAGCGACAATAATCATCACCTACATGTATTTTAGGTTCATAAATTAAGAAAAATTGTACTTACAAAGTAGAGAATAGCTGACGACTGGTTTTTATTTTTCTTTAGATAAAAGCAAGCCAAAACCTCTAGGATTTGATGCTTAAGTCAAGTTGTCATTATCCGTCCAATAATTTTGACTTGGGGGTCAAAATAATAGACCAAGCTTTTTCAAGGCAGAGAGAATTAATTAAATTTCACTTGTCAATTAGTAGCAGTAGTACTACTACGTCACTGAATCTACAAGGAATGAGCGTCGCTGATGATCGTTAGATGTTGGAATGAAGCTAGCTATTGTGAATAGGCCATTATGAACCTCAATTCATCATTACCATCGGCCTTTTGAGAGAAAGGGCAGGCCTGGCTATGATTGAGGGTGAAGCAATTATGAGCCTCGTTAAGAGCCCTTCCTCAAGCAACCCCAAGAGCTCTCAATCTGTCATTCACACGGATTTTCAATTTTGAAACCTTGACCATGCTTCAGGTAGTTTTCTACACGGCCCCAAGTGGGCTGACTCTAGACTCAGCAGTCTTACAGCAAGACCGCATTATTAAAAAATCAGGGCCCTATTCTATATTCTTCAAATGGCATTTAGCGTTCATTTCTCTCGGCCCTTGGGCTAAAGATCAAGGCTGGCTGACGTCTATGCTTGTGACTTTAGTCAGGAGCAAACAAATATTTGTAAAATTTAAGGATCTTGTCAGAAGGGGCATTGGAAATACCAAATAGGATGTTTTTCCTTTTTCTTTTGAAAGAAAGAAAAAGGAAGTTCAAAAGGAATTAAGATTCATTACTAACTTGCAGATTACTTTGAAACAAATATCTGCACAATTTTTATTGCCGCTAAACATAAGCAAAGTAATTGACAACCCAATACAACTACACAAGACCACATTGGATGACTTGCACATCCAGATGTGCTTGAAAATGAAATTCAACTTCTAAAGCCGACAGGATGAAAAGCGTAGCCATAAGAATGTGACCCACCAAAATTATTGGAACTGAAAAGCATCCATTCTCTGTAAATCCGCAGATAACAAAATATCCAGTGACATTGAATCTCAAGAAAAGTAACCTAGAAAGGAATTATCAACTCCTAAGCAGTTTTTGCCACCTTATCAGCAAGAACGTTATCAGGAAGGATAAGCTCAGGAGGCGTCTCACGAACAACCCCGAGCATTGAATCATATTCCTCATCGCGGCGAGCAAATTTCTTACGAAGCACCTTCTCAAACTCAATTTCATCAAAGCTCTTTGCATTTTCTGCTGCATGAACTTGTGCCAAGTTGGAATAATTTAGGGCTGACTGGGAAATGAAGGCCATCTCTTCCTCTGTTAGCTTCCTTAGGAACTTGGCTGGGTTACCTCCCCATACCTGTAATTTCAAAGGACAACATCCATTAACAAATTTAGAACTTCAATTATAAGAGTGCTTTTTGGCTACAAGCTGGATCAATTCGTTCCCCTTGGATTAATCTAAAATTTCAACTCCATGAGGACCATGACCAAAGCAGGTGGTTAATAACCGCCTCCAAGGTTTCTTGTCAGAGCTAGGTAATAGCAGGTTTCCTCTCCGTCCAGAACACCTAAAAAATATGTGCCATTCATACTAGCTAATATGAGAAATGCAGGCTAGATCAAGCTTCCATTTGAAAGCTATACAGACTACCACTTATGACTGCAATCTCTAGCTTTTTTCATATGAATCTTATCTATCGATCCATGTTGTCTTCCAATGGAGTACCAACTATTGTATCTATTTCAGTGAGACCAGGTGTGCATATTTAACTAAGAACAAGCATACCTATTCCATATTTCTCTAAACCATAAAACTTTGCACCTCACAAGAACGAATAACAAAGTTAAGAAGTTAAATAGAATCTATAAGATTTCAAGCAAGATGAACACCCAAATGTCAGTTAGAAGTGTCTACAAACCTCTCCGCATGGAATCCTAGTGTTCTGCCTCACAAGAGCTCCAGCAGCAACCATGGCATGCTTCTCAACATAAACTCCATCTAATAGGGCAGCCCCCATACCAACAAATGCTTCATCCTCAACAGTACATCCATGTAAAACAGCACTATGACCTGTCCAGTTTTTATCAGTGATTATATTTTCAAGACAGTAAAACCACAGACAAGGGACTGCTTTTAAGAACAGGTCACTCACCCACGGTAACATTACTTCCAATAATAGTTGGTAAAACCTTCCCACTTAAGTTAGATTTTGCAACGTGAACAAGGGAATTATCTTGGATATTTGTTCCAGACCCAATATTGATGCTATTCACATCACCTGCAGACATCAAAAGTCATATTCAGAAAAGAACAACCTCCATAGACATATAACATGCCACGAGACACAGATGAGAGAAAAAGGAAGGGAGAAAGAGAGCAGTTACTCATAAAGTTCAATATGATACAAACTTAGGTCTTTTACATCAACATCATTTTTCAATAGGAGCACCACAAAATGGATGAATCAAAGAGGGGTGATGAATTTTTAAAGTCTCTTATTACTTCAGGAGCTAGATACTATTACCCTATGATAGTCATATTTTTATTTGTAATAAAAGCAACACAATCCAACGTGTAGTGAGTTATAGCTTATGTTACTTTTAATATTAAAATAATGATAAATGAACTTAGCTATTTTGGCCATTAATCATACAGAATATAGTTTCAATACAAGCATTTAACCAACTCCAGCTCCCTCATTCAAAAATTCTTAATTTTGTCCTTACGCCACAAAGATATTACAATTTTAACAAAAGCACTAAAATCATCAAGTCGCACTAACAAATTCCATCGCCATTGATATTTTGTGCTAAAGTACATTCTTTCTTCTAACCACATAGTTGCTTTCACTTATAAAACATCACTGGTGTTCTCAAATGCCATCATGGATCTTGATAGTAAAATGATCCATCTTTGAGACGCGATATGTAATATATGATATTCCTTAAAAAAGAATTTATGATTAAATTCTAAACAGTTTTGCTGCATGCATGCCTGCCACAAAGTAACAAACATCCTTAGCTTCATTTTCCTAAGACTAAGACGGACAATAAGCATGCATTCGGCATCTTGGTTTCAGAAATTAAATTAATCTAAGAACAAGATTTGTTCAACTATAAAATCATCTAAACACTAAACTAGAACTAAAACCAGAAGATCACAAAATCTACAACATAAATGGCGTGTACCACTCATAAACTAATCGAAAATTAGAACGCTTACCTCTCAAAACACATCCGTACCAGATAGAAGAACCTCGTCCGACCTGAACATCGCCAATGATAGAAGCACTTGGTGCCACAAAGGCATCTCTATCAACAACAGGAGCTTTGTCGAATATGTTCATCAACGTCCGATGTCTCGACACTGAAACAAACCAAATCCAAACAATTGCTTAAAACAGCTTTACACAATCAAAATATACGGCAAATGCAGTTCCGATTTTAGAACGTAATGTTTATGAAATTATGAATTATAGAATTGCAGCTGAAATGAAGCGTAAATTCGTTGTGAAATCGATCGAATACGAAATTGACTGAGGGGGAGTTAGGGTTTTAGGGTACTCACGTTGTTCTTGGAAGTAGTAGTTGCCTTGAAGGCGGCAACCAAGACGATCGAGGGCTTGGCCGGTTTCTCGGATCCAGAATCCAACGGTGTAGATTGCTTTCCCCAATGTTCCCATCTTCTTCTTCTTCTTCAAATTGATGGAGATAATTTTTTTCTTATATTTTAGAAGAAGCTTTGAGGTAATTTTTTTTTTTTCAGCTGAGAAAGTGAAGCTACGAAACTGGAGAAAAATGGAGAGAGAACTATCTGCGGCGTCCAGGAAGTCAGCGACCATCTTCCCTTTCCATACGGATTCTTTCCCACAGTTTCTCGTTGTGAGTCAATCACCTTCTGCCACCTGTTCCTCTACCTTGGTATGATACGATGCTAAGGCCGTCGTCTTATGGCAAGTTTTTTTCTGTTTCACTATTTTCTTCTTTTCTTTTAATTTGCCCTTCAAGTAAAAGGAAATGATTTTTGCATGAAGGAAAATTAGAAAATGACTTAATAACTAATAATTTATTTTTAAATTTTATTTTACTTCAATTTTAAAATTTTGTATTATAAAAGGAGAGACACCCATTTTTTTAATGAAAAAAGATACTATTTGAATATGAAACATTCTTTTTAAAGGCGAATTATGATGATCATTGAAAATCATTCACTTTTTTCCGGTTCTAAACTTCTCTCAGATAAACGGCCACCCCCCAAAAAAAAAAAAACTTTTGATAATTACGCTGTGATGTGTATAATCTGAATATCATCAAATATGTACTAAAAAGTCAATAGCTACGTGAGTCATTAATAAAATATTAAAATTTTAATTTTAATGATGATAATTTTAAATTTCAAAAAAAAAAAAGAAAATCTAAATAGTTAGATATACGGGGCCGAGCAACATTCTTCAATTAAAAGAAACTCATCCAAACACCATTGCTTATATTTTCCCCTTCCATGATTTATCTATCTTGCATCTTATCTTTGTCTAACACATAAAGAATCAGCCCCAATTCACCCATACATCAATCAGATAAAGAAAATCAAGCGGAAACACAACCTGAAAGTGGAATCTTTCCTTTCCGTGAGTCGTAGATAATGGGATTACATACTATTGAAAAGTTCATCGCATAAGAAGTGCAACGTAAAGCACTATCAAAGCATGAGAATTTGGCAAGTTTCACCAAGAGAGGCATGCAACTAGAAGTCTAGCCGCACTAATATTATACCCAATCAGTAAAATTTTACAGCAATTTTCTCCAAACAGTCGCAAAGGCAGTCACTTCCTCAAGCTTTCAACAATGTAAGACGCGTATAGATCCCTGCAACATTAAATTTTCCGGTAAGACAGGAAAAATGATGGATAAATTACCATAAAACTTGTTCTTAGGTTAGAGAACAGCTCTAACAAGATACAAAATCAAAATCAGAATGCAAAATATTGCTGATCTCAAACAAACTCACATGGAATACTTGATGGCTTCAATGGCAGTCTCAGCTGGCAAAAAGTCTTCTACATCAACCTTCTTGTTCTCATTCTTTTTGTCTGTTATTCAACATTAGTGAAGGATATACTAGTGAAAGAATTGACGTTATGACTGTCGCATTGCCACAAGAAAAACAACAACAGCGATTCAAATTACTAACAAGCAAAATATAAGTATGCATGAGCGGATACAGTCCTCAAAGAAGCGGCGGATTTCAGCCAGGCGATGAGGAGGAAGCTGTTTGATGTCTGTGTAATGACGGAACTCAGGATCATCAGCACATACAGCAATAATCTTGTCATCCTTCTCACCCTGCAAAGGCCATCTCAACATTGAATGTCTGACAGGAAAAGGAACAATGGAGGAAGGATTGGAACTTGTAGAAAGATCATAATTAGAAATCTAACACACAGAAGATTTATGGTTTCAAACAAATAGTAACCCAACATCAGAGAATGCTTAATTCAATTACATGCTTAGATAGTTGGAGTACTTCCACTCTTGTGTTTCTCAACACTCAACAGCTACAAATGCATTTAGATATCCTATTCAAGTAAAATGATATAAGCCATGACTACAGAAATAAGCCGAGAAGAGGGGGCTTTTTACCTGATCAATCATGGGCATTAACCCAATAGCACGAGCACGAAGAAAAGAACCAGGTAACACAGGCTCCTACCAAGTACCAAATATACATCAAAGAATCAATTAATTAGTTCAGCTGAAAACCAATTAGCCTGACATTTTTTCCATTGAGTAAGTCCATGAATCAAACAGAGTAACAGACACTACCTGCATCAGTATCAGGACATCCATAGGATCACTATCTTCGCATATAGTCCTTGGTATGAAACCATAGTTGTGCGGGTAAACAACCGATGAGTACAGAATACGATCAACCTAATTTTCAAGAGAATAATTTGTTATTTTCTTCTTTAAAAGAAATAAAGTACCTAATATATTTTCATTAGGAAAAGGCCATCATCTTAACAAAGCCAAAAGGGTCTAAACAAGTAAGGATAGTTGATAGAGCCATGATATATAATTTTGATTGCAGCACAAAAATAGGACATTTTGACTTACTAGTTACAAAAAGATATATAAGTACATAAAAGAATCCATATATCAGTTAGTTTCAAAGAAGCTAGCAACTGATTTAAGAAGAACATTGAATAACTTGACCAGCTCTTTCTCAAATTTTATTAAAAACTATCTACTTAAAAATAAAAAATAATAAAAAAAGCAATCCAATGATAAAATGTTCAATTAGTTTTGATTTTTAAAGGAAGAAAAGAGGAGGAAAGTTTTACTTTTATAAGACCAGTGGGCTTGTCGAGCTCGTACTTAACCTTGCTACCTTTGCCAATTTCAACAACCTTCAACAAAAAAAAAAAAAAATCAAAATTCATTTCTACAAAGATTTTCAAAACCAGAACTTAAATTTTAATAACAGCAAATTAAAATTTGAAAAAACAAAACGTACACAGTTAAAAACTGTTGGAGCACCAGGTCCTGCGTCAATATATAAAGCATAGTTGAAATAGGAATCAGCTAAGGAGTTTACTATGAACAAGTGAAATTATTATTAATACGAAGGAAAATTATACCGATCTCCAAGTCATGCCAAGGATGAGCAGCAACGGATCTTCGAGTCATCGAAGAAAGGATTCTTTCATTGAGGACAACGTGAGGGAATCCAGCGCTCCTCCTGCTTGTTGGTTCTCCACCATAGTTTGCCATGTTTCTTTCGATGCTCAAAAACTTCTTTATCAAACCAAAAACAAAACCAAAAATATTCAAAATCATCGCACAATAATGATGAACAAAATATCAAAATCAACGGATTCACAGTTCAAAAACTGATACTTACAGAAAATGAGAGAATCTGAGAGGACAAATAATTTGTGAAAATGTTTTTTTGATTCCTTTGAGTGAAAGGCTCTTTTATACGGAAGGTGATAGAAGAAGAAAGTGCTGTTACTTCTTCTCTCTCTCCTCGGGCATCGTTCAGCGGTCGGTCCACGCTGAGTACGGAAGGTTGAATGGCAAAAAAGGTCGAAATTGGACGGCTGTAGATGCAGAGATGTGTCAGAGGGTTTTTTTTTTTTTAAGACTGCATCAAGTTTTTTATTTCAAATTCGTTAAGTTTTAAATTAAAATTAAAAATTAAAAAATTTTATTATATAGATTAAGGGTATAAAATTAAAAATAAATTTAATAAATTTTGATGTATATTCTTAAATAAATATTTTAATAAAAATATTAATAAAATTTTTATCATTAAATAATATCAATGAAAATTAAATTATAATAATATACTTAATAATTTTTTTACATATTATTAAATTTTATCAATTTAAATTTTTTATTAAAATTTTTATTAAATTATTTTTAAAAAAAATTTAACAAAATTTACTTAAAACACTTAACGAAAATTTTTTTATTCTCTTGAAAATTAGGAGTTGATTTAGGTGCAGACGAATCGTGGAGTTACACGTGGAAAAAGTGGGTGATGGTATTGTTTGTTGTGCCCGTGTGTTATATCCACGAATGGAGTTTTTAAAATGTTAATGATGGTGGTATAAATTTGTCCACGTGGATTTATTAATATTTGATATTTTGGCTGAAATTTGTTTTTGAAAATTTGATATTCCTAGGACAAGAATAATTGTTATCATCAAAAGTAAATAGGTGAATTAGAAGTATATATAATCATTCAATTGTTTTGTTGAACAACGTAGTCATTACAAGTTTAATTCGAATTATAGTTGATGCATTACTAGGATCAGAGTAAAAAAAATTAGAATTGCTCATTATTAAGCATCATATTAAAAAACAGCTAACCTTAAGCTTAATCTCTTTATAGGAGAATCTTTGAGATAGTATTTATTTTATGGTTAAAATATTAAAAAATTCCAAAATTATTTTTTAAAATAAGTTAATATTTTTATTATACTTAAATAAATGTTTATTTTTTATTTGTATTTAAATAAATTTTTATTCCAAATAAAAGATTGATTTAAATTAATGACTTATTTAAATATAAATTAAAATTTTAGTTAAGTGTAAATTAAAGTTTAAGAATGTATTTAAATATAATAAAAATATGAAAATTTATCTAAATAAAATAATAAAATTTAAGAATTTTTTATTATTTTAACTTTATTTTATTCTCAAATTGTATTCATAAAAATTGATTTTTGATTGAAAAAAACACAGAAAATTTTCCTCTTAAATTGACTAATGGTAATGGATTTGTTTACGAGTTGAACTACTTGCTAAGCTTGCCCGGAACGAGCTTTAGATATAAATTTTAAATTTGAATTGAGCTTGATAAATATTTGTTGAACATATTTTATTATTAAATATTTATTTTTTAAAAAATATATAAAAATATTTTTAATATTTTTATAAACATATGATTTGATCTAAGTTCGGATTAATTGGATCTGGCTCAAATGAACAAGATAGACCCACATTTTTTTATTTTATTTTATTTTTATTTATTATTATTATTAGCATTATTATTATTATTATTTTGTTTATTATTTATTTTATTTATTTATTATTATTATTATCATTAGTTATTTTATTATATTATTATTTATTTATTTTATCTTTTTTTCTTGATTAATTGGAGATAATAATTAAAATGGAAATAGATTTTCTGCCGTAAATAAGGGCAGTAGAGAATCATGGTTGGATTAAATCATGTATTGGATAAATTCAACGAGTAAAAATCTAATCAGAAAGGAAATCTGGATTGGTTAGAGACTCTGAGATTGAATTCTTATAAATACACACAGATCAGAAACACAAAGGGGATGACATAAAAACAGAGATGAATAAAAAAGCTGAAAAACAAAAGGTAGAGTCTAGAAATATTCTAAAAGTGGTTAGAAGCAATTTAGAAATTTTAAGAAATTTTGGAGAAAATTTGGCCTTTTTTTTCTGAAAAATTTCTAGAAATTTTTCAGAATCTGACGAAATTTTTTTGCAAGATTTAAGTTTTTCAACGAGTATTCCTGCCAACTTTGAAGTTTTCGACGGGTTTTTCAGATTCCTACAAAACTTCAACCGAAATCTGAGTTCTGTTTAGAAAGAAGAGAGAGAAAAAAAAAAGAAGAAAGAGAGAGGGTGAGGAAGTAATCTGTTGAAAGGCTGAGTTCAGAGCCTTTTATACCTTGCTAAAATGATGCCGTTTTGGCATTAAAAATCTCAGAGGATCTGCGCGTTTTTGTTTGGTTCAACCCGACCCGATCGCAACTCGATTTGCTGACCTGCGTTCCAACCAACCATTCGATCATAACCGAGCCGATTACCCCGAGTCGCGTTTTGAGCCGTGATTTTTGTCTTGAGTCGAGTCGTTTCCTAGTCTGAGCCAAGCCGTTTCAGATTTTTTTGGTATTTTCTCATTTATTTTATTTAAGCATTTTATTTATTTATTTATTTTTAATTTTTTTATTATTAAATTAAAATAATAAAAAATAAATATTTGGAAATAAATATTAATTATCCAATAATAAAATTTATAAAAATTTCAAATGGTAAATTTTTATAAAATTTTTAGGTGAGAAATTTGGTCTAAATTTATCCCAAATGATAAAATAATTTAGATAAAATTTCAATAACAATAATTAATATTTATTTTCAAACCAAAAAAATTTAAAACATAAAAGCATAAAAATATAAAAATTTTTGAAATTAAATACAAATTACCCAAGGATGAGATTTTTAGAAATTTCGAATGGTAAATTCTTAAAAAATCTCTGAATGAGAAATTTACTCTAAATTTGATCCAGATGGTGGAATGATTTAAATAAAATTTCAATACAAGTAATTGTATTTTTTTTTAAATAAAGATTTGGATTGAAAATATTTGATAATTATCTAAGGATGAAATTCTTAGAAATTTCAAATGGTAAATTTATAAGAAATCTCTAAGTGAGAAATCTTCTCTAAATTTAGCATAGATTATGGAATAATTTAGATGAAAATTTTCAATAAAAGCAATTGTCATATTATTTTCTTTCTAAATAAAAAATAAAAAGAATTTTTAAATAGGCCCAAATGGTGAAAAATTTTAGAAATTCAAAAAGAAAAAATATTTTTAATTTAGCTCAAATGGTGGAATAATTAGATATATTTTCGACTAATAATAATTAAACTTTTTTTTTTTGACGAAAGAGCCTCTTCAAAGAAATTAATGAAATTCTTGAATACTCTTAATGTGATGAAATATTTTTTAAAGAGTTCTACTAGATTGATGAAAAATCTTAAAAATTGTTTCCAATATTTAACTTAAAATTTGAAACCATTAGACTCAATACCTTAAGATAAATTCGAAATAATATGATACCATCTTTTGGATGGACATGTGAGGATGCTATAACATTTCTCATATATAATCGACTCTCGAACTCTGATCTGGTTAATAGACCCGAACCTATTCTTTTAGAGACCCTTAAGCTTAGGTGTTCCTTAAAATGATAAATTCTTTAGGTGATCAATCACACATAATAAAAAAGATTGATGTCGACTCCATTCATTTGATAAATCTAACTATAGATTTTTGAATCTATATGTTATGATAATTTTAATAATAATTTAAATTAAAATTGACCTAAATTATCGGATCAAATCTAACATTTAGCAAGCATTTTGAGTTATATTAACCAGACCGAACCCATTTCATAAACACCTCATTACAGTTTTAGGTATAATTAATAGCAATTTTTGTTTTCATTGGTTGAGATAACAAATTAGTATTGGATTGATTGAATTGTATTTGTTATTTTTATTCTTCAACCATATACATTACAATTTTTTTTTTTAAACATCTCATTGCAGTTCGCCGAACAATAAAAAATAATAATAATAATAATAAAAGAAAACAAGATTTTCACTCATTATCTTATCCTCTTTAAGTCACCAATGCTCATGCGATTGTCTTTCTTTTCTTGGACCTTAGATGTGAGTGGCTACCAGAATTCTAAGATTATTGGGAATATTCTCTGCAATTGAGTAGATAAAAAATGATGGGTTATCATCCAGTGGGCAAAAATCTTTTTAAACCTTTGAAGATTTGATTCATTTTGGCAAGTTGATCCTGCTACGATCCCTCGTGAGGAAAATCACAATCACTCATTCACAATTACAAAGCCAAAAACGCCCAATTCGAACCTTGTAGGAAAATCAACTCTGTAGACATCACAATCCAATTTTGTTCAGAAAAACTTAGGATGCTTATTATGTAAAGATCGTGATCATAGTTGATATTCAAGGTTTCCGACATTGCAAGATAATTAATTAATTTTGTTATTAAATGAAAATCATAGTTCGAAAACAGATTAAAAAATTATAAGAATTTAAAATTTGAATTTCAGATCTATTTGATATTATATTTTAAAAATGATTATATAAATCAATTAGGTTAAAATTTTGAGTGATAAAAGTGAAAAAAAAATAAAAAAAACTAAAAACCAATTCAAATTGATCAATTTGAATTGATTTTTTTTATTGGGTTTGGTTTAAATTAAATATTAAATGTTTTTATTAAGTTCGGATCAATGTGAAAAAGCTGAAAATATTTGAACCTAATCGAATTATATATTTTTATTAATTTATATATATTTAAATTTTTATAAAATAAAAATAATTATATATGTCCAAATTTAATTAAATATATTAAAATAATATAAAAAATTTAAAATTTAAAATCAATGAATTGGATTAAATAAATAAAATTCGGTTCAAATCAGATTTTGAAAATCCATAACATAATGTAATATCTAAAAAATTTGAATCAATTCCAATTTAATCCAAATTATTATCTCTCTTACCAATTTGATAATTAATTATTTTCGTTGTAATATATGTTGATATATATATTTTACGTTAAATAATAGATATAAATTTTGTTAAGAGTTAATATTTGAGGTGTAAATTTTTAATTTTATAAATGATATTAAAATTTTGACACATGTTTTATTTTTATTTTTAATTTATTTTTTTTATTTTTTTAATATATTCTAAATGATATATGCCTTTCTCTTATTCTTGTTTATGAAACAAATTTTTTTTTAAAAGACATGTGACACATGTTAGTGTAT